CATCAACTCCAGTATAGTCCAAACATCTCTGAACATCATTGAAATATAAAATATTGCCATTTGCAAACACTGGAATTGATAGATTCTCTCTGAAAACCAACAACAAACCACATTGACAATGTTCTCCAAATTTATGACGACAATAAAAACACCAGCAAAAGAACATACTTGACTGCCTTGATGTGGTCCCAACTTGCTAGACCACTCAATTCTTTTTTCTGCTCTCTAGTTCTGCCATGGACTGTTAAAAGCTTTAAAATGAATTTTGAGTTGAAAATAGTTTGAGGAATAAAAAACCCTGGCCAAAAAAGTGCATGCAAAGAATAATAATGTGCATGCAGTGGTGTAACTTAGGAATATTTAGATCAGTTGGTCGGTAAGCCAGTCAGTCACACATGCAGTCTGCCCACCGATCTATAGGTTTATCAGCTAACCATTGGGGTGGTTCTTATTTGACATGACAAACTTTGCCAAAGAATATATGTCTTTATACAAAGGTCAGAAGATAATTAAGCATAAATATGTACATTTGTACACTACCGCATGGGATATCGCAAGCTTCACAATTATTTTCAAAAACATTCAATCTAATCACCTGACAGCCAGCCTTTTCTAACATTTTTGCATAATCCACCGTCTTCTGTATGTCTTCGAACACTCTTATTTTACAGGTGACAGGAACTGATAATTTTTCGGCAGCCAAACTTACTGAAAACACAGTAAATTACCTTTAGTATTTTACAGTGAGTATAAAAGTTTAAATCTTCCCTCAAAGTGCAGATTTGAGAGACCCCAGACTGCATACCCAGATGATTTTACTATGTCTAACACCACCAGATTGTTTGCTCTGTCTAATGACAGATGATTTTACTTGTCAAGGGAATTGATAAAAATATGCAGATAGCTACTGTATATGAACTGTATCTTGAAGAAAATAATGGAAATCATTTACCAATTTTACTTATTAGGTCCCACTCATCTTGCAGGAATGCTCCATAATGTCCTAGAACACACATACAGTGAATCATATTACTCAAGACATATTAAGATATTGTTAATAACTATTAACATGGGGCAGTTCAGGGGAAAATGTGTTAATATCTCTTACGGCCAATTTACACTGCACAACTTTTGCCTGAAACTGTCACATGCAACCTGCTTACAACTCGAGTTATACTGTCTAAATCATGCTCACAACTTGTCTATGTTGTCGTAGGTGAGTTGTGTGCTTGATTGACACAGTACAACTCAAGTTGTAAGCAGGTTGCATGCAACAGTTTTATGCAAAAGTTGTGTAGTGTACATCGTCCTATAGGGAACCATATGACATTAACGCACACAGTACCTCTCTTGGCAATACCCTGTGGACATCCCAAGTTTAAATCTATTGCATCACAATGAGGTTCTGCAAGCAAAGCTGCATTCACAAGAGTTTCTGCATCATTTGCACAAAACTACACAAAAGAAGATGTATAAGTTAGGCCTTAAAATATATGTACAATCACAGACATTGTCTGACTCATTGGTGAAATTGTCTGACACCGGACCTACAGTACCGCTCAGAATTAACCTAACAAAAACCGCGGTTTAACCTCGGTTGAACCTCAGTTTGACCGCGGTGTGACTGCGGTGATTTAAAGGTTTGACCGAGGTTATACCGCGGTAATTTTGAGGTTAAACCGCAGTGACCATGAGGTTTAACCGAGGTTTGACCGCAACCGAACCGAACCGATCCGCAAGTTTCGTATATACTCGTCAGCATTCGTAAATATTCGTGTATTTCCGAAGGGGTCATTATAAAACTCCGTGTTTGCTTAATTAATTTGCTTAAAGTTATAAATATTGACATATTTTTTAAACATTGAGGCATGGGGAGGCTGTCGCTTTATGCCAGGGAGCGAATTGTCTCCTTACTTTCGACAAATACTTCAGTTGTTGGGATAATTAAGAGTTTAAACGAAGGGTAAAGGCAAATATGTAGGTCTCGATCTTCTTGTTTATTACAGTTTAAATAGATGTTTTAGATTAAGTAAGAATTTGGCACGAGCATCAACTTAAATTAACTTAACTCTTTAATATAATAAAGGCTAAAGGTTATAACGTGTGTACCTAGAAGGTAAATAAAATCTCGGCCTTTTAGGCACACACGTTATAACCTGGAGCCTTCATTATAAAACTTTATTATAATTGACAATCTATCCTTTATTATAAAACTTTATTATAATCGACGATCTGCTGTAGCCCTTATTATAATTGACGCTGACACCACAGTCTTTAAGCTTTCTCTTAGCTATTATATTATAGCCCGAGTTAGCATTTTATTATTGAAGACATTCTATACCGCGAATATTTTACTGCTTTTGGTCGGAAATCCTCGGAATCAGAATGCATATTAAAACAGCGGTTAGCTTTTTGCCGATGCGTGGGCTAAACCGAAAAAAAAACCGCCTGATAACCGCACGTTGACCGCACGTTGACCGCACGTTAACCGCCCGATAACCGCACGCTAACCGCAAAACGACCGCAACCGCAGTGTTAGGTTAATTCTAAGCGGTACTGTAAGCGAAACTAAGGTTTATGTTTGTCTGACCAAGTGTATTGGTATCCAACCGAACTATAAGCTTTGTCAACGTAAATCAAAATGTACCCTAGTCCAGGACTAGAGTCTCGTATGTTAATTGGAAAATCAGATTTAATGTAATTAAGCGCAGGGCAGCAAGCAAATTTAGTGGTGAAGTGGAAAATGGGTTGTCAAACTGCTGTTATTGGCAAGCAAGTTAATGACATTACATGTGACATTATAATCTTGGTATCGGTTAGGTTGATATTTAGTAATTTCCGATTGTTGCATGATCGGTCAATCACTATAGTATTACTAATGATGTCATATAAATGTCAAATGACTTCAAGCAAATCCTTGGTAGTCAAGTGGTCAAGGCACTCGACTAGCATGGGCCGGCCCCAGGTTCAAATCTCAGGAACGGATATGAAAATTTATATAGTCCAAAAAAACATAATGCATGTGTAATATTTTGTGGGAATATTTGTGGGGGAATAGTCCTAGTATATATACATGAACTTGTGGTTGGAGCTCAACAACTGGACTCTGTAGCTCAGTTGGTTTATAGAGCACTGCACTGGAATCATAGGCCGCAGGTTCAATTCCTGGCAGGGACAGTATATATAGTTGCATATTTTTTCTTCAGCTCGAACGACTCGGGTCATTCCATTTATTATCCGCACCCCCCCCTATGGATGAGCTCTGGTAAAAATGTTACCTGTAGGAATCGGATTTCAGAGAAGTACCCTGTTGGAATCGACAGTATCAATCTAAACCCTAGGAATGCTGCTAATTGCCAATATCTCACTGGTAGGAATCTGCTAATTGCCAATATCTCACCGGTAGGAATCTGCTATTTCCCAATGTCAGACCGGGGGGGGGGTGAGAATAATAAATGAAATTATTATGATTCTCATAATAAATATTTGGCAATATAGTATGCTACACCTTGACGGCAATATCTGACCGGTAGGAATCGGGCCAAAGGAATCTGTTAATTCCCAATATCTGACCAGTAGGAATCCCCTAAGTCCTAATATCTGACCGGTAGGAATCCGCTCATCCATAGGGGGGGTGCGGATAATAAATGGAATGACCCCTCGATGATTTCTATCTACAAAAATCTTTAACCCTTCTGTCAAACCTGTATAATAAGTGGTCTGTCCTCTTCACAAGTGGCTAAAGCAGCTTTACGATATGTAGGCTCTCTCAAGAACACTGAGGCGTGATACATAGGAGAGTAACACAACTCAGAACCGTGCCTACGGCTTAGAATTCGCCAAGGCAGTTCGGACTGATCGACCATTGGTGCCACTATGTAACGTGGTTTCTTTAGAACTTTCTCATAAAATTCATATCCTTTATACTTGGCAGGCATTTTGGGTTCAGATATGTTCAAATATAATAACAAAAAAACTTTTAAAAATCGCTCTGAATTCTGAAGAAACTATATTTTTTTACGTGTAAAAAATTATAAAACATTTGTTTATTGTTTAGGCGCTAGATTATAATCATGATCACAACAAAGGTATCCGCTTAGTACATGAGTTGTGGGCTCATTTCAGATATTTTCCTTTTAATTAAAAATATTACAAAATTGTTACAATTTATTGTTTACATTCTGTGCGGAATTCAATGTAGCATGAAATATTTTTGTTTTTATCTAGTATGCAGTTGAGAAATGGAAACAGATGGTGCAAAATTTAATGGTATGTATGTACTGTGCTGTTTGTTTTGTATCTTGAGTTTTAGTGAAAATAATCTTACTGGTAATATAATATTTTGCAGGCAGAACATTAGTCGAGCTGTGTCTCAACTATCAGTTACTATAACTAGTAGTCACAGCTTTATGTCCAAATGGGCTTATTCGTGAATAATTCGTTCAAAACTGGACATTTAGATGCTATTTGTCTGATGAAAGTGTTTTCCTTGTTCTTTACCTGAAAAAATACCGTAAATACCATAATTAAATATAAATATAGTAAAAGGAGTTGTTCTCAGACCAGTAGTCACAGCTTTATTTCCAAATGGGCTTATTCGTCAATAATTCGTCCAACACTGGATCCCAACATTCAGATGCTATTGGCTGACGAAAGTGTCTTCTTCGTCTTTACCTTTACCACCGTAAATATGGGCCCAGCACGCTTCCACTTCCATAATAAAAGGAGTCGTTCTCTGACCAAAAATAATTTTATTTTGACGAGCTTTTGGCCACTAGACTGTGGTCTTCTACAGGTTAAATAAATTATTATTTTTGGTCAGAGAACGACTCCTTTTATTTTGCCTTTACCTGACCCAGTGACCATGCTTCATCAAAATTTACCGTAATTATATCAGCTAGTTAATGATTTTAAGTAATTCCTTTTCAAAAATGTAAATGAATGACATTACCTTCACTGAGTTGTCTGACATGATGTTATTATAAAATTGGTATTGGGTGGATTGTTGCATAATGTATAATAATCAGTAATTTCCGATTGTGGCTTAAAAAATAATCAGTCAATCACGAACCTTTATTTATGTTAAAACAGGGAAAGAAAGAAGCTCCAGTTGTGGAGAAAGATATGTTTTAAAAGAGGGTTGGTGTACCAAAGAAAGTGGAACGACATTATTTGGAGCTTCAAATTGGAGACAACGGTGGTTCGCATTGATTAGAGATGATTCTACATTAACATTGGCTTACTACAAGTTAGTGTTTATTTAACATGCACATGCAATTTCCATCTTTTTTCTTGTTTATTACGTTCATTACACACACAAAAATCTCATATCTTGTAGCATGTCTGCTAAAGAGCCGTCAACAAGTTGTGTTTGCACTGCTTGTCCCAAGTTGTCAGCAAATTTGGAATAGGCTGTTAAAAACTTGTAACAACCTTGTTGATATTATCAGATTTGTCGCAAAGGTTGCTACAACAAGTCTGATACGGTCATGACATAACAGTACTGTTACAACCTTGTGTGTCATCAACCTTGTTATATCATGACTGTATCAGACTTGTTAGGACAATCTTGTAACAAGTCTGATAATACTATCAAGCTTATTACAAGTTGTTAACAGCTTGTTCCAAACTTGTTACAACAACTGGGATCAAGCAGTGCAAACACAATGTTTTGCAGACTTAATTGTAACAAGTTTTGCGTTTCTATGTGTGTAATTTTGAAATGCCAGAACTCCCTTTTCAAGTGCCAAAACTCTGTTTTCAAATGCCAAAACTCTGTGTTCAAATGCCAGGACTCCTTTTTTAAAAGCCAGAACTCCCTTTTCAAATGCTAAAACTCAGTTTTCAAATGCCAGAACTTCGTTTTCAAAAGCCAAAACTCAGTCCCCAAATGCCAGAACCCCTTTTTCAAAAGCCAGAACTCCCTTTTCAAATGCCAAAACTCAGTTTTCAAATGCCAAAACTCTGTTTTCAAATGCCAAAACTCAGTTTTCAAATGCCAGAACTCTATTTTCAAATGCCAAAACTCAGTTTTCAAATGCTAAAACTCTGTCTGCAAATGCCAGAACTCTCTTTTCGAATGCCAAAACTCAATTTTCAAATCAGCCAGAACTATGTTTCCAAAAGCCAGAACTCCATTTTCAAATACCAAAACATTGTTTTCAAATGCTAGAACTCTCTTAAGTTGCATTAAGCGAACAATCTAATTGTTTTAGTAGAATCAGAGATGAAACGTAAACTATTCCTCAGAAAAACGCAAGTCCAAATGATTATTTTGCTACTCCTTATCTATCGAGGAATTATAGATTGGGAGTAGAGTAGCCAATCAAATTACAGCACTTGCAATATATACTAGTATGATTCTACTATCGTAATATAATTACTAGTGCAATTTTGTTTCTTGATAGACAAATTAATGATTCCCAACCTAAAGGAAAAGTTTGTCTTGATTCCACATGTAAGTACAAGCTATTATTATTATTATTATTATACATCTTTATTAAAAATTGAAGTTGCAACAAACGTGCATCTTTACAGTGCATATAAGATATATATAAATATATATACAGGGTGCATATATATGTAGAACATATTTTTATGGTGAATTGTTAAAAGTAGAGATGGCTGATGAGGTGATTGATTAGGAAATAGTCTGCAAAACGGAATGCAGTCAGGACGCCTTCCGAGTGTTGTTTTAATTAATTTAAATTTGTTAAATTAATAAATTTCAATGAAAAATTGGTGGAAAATTGTCATGACTTAGTAACATTCAACGACAAACTGGCCTTGCCTTTATTTTTATCAAATTCAAGGCCATCAGACTGTGTTGCAATCTAAATGTTCGTATATTTATAAAGCTCTATGTGACTGTTTCCCATAAGTAATATTCTGAAATTACTATTTTACACTCAGGGATGTCGCAAAGACATCAACATTGGGGGGGTGTCGTCATGTTTTTCGTTATCAACATTGGGGGGTGTCGCCAACTTTTCCTACGATTTTGACCAAGTCGTGAAAATTTTTCCCAGAAATGTTGTCGACGGGGAGGGGGGGGGGGGCTTTAAAATTGTTAAAAGTGTGAACCATTTCATTAATTTTAACATCTTCAACCATCTCAAATTTTTCCGAGTTTTACCTTCAATTTTAAGCAAATATCAGTTCCATTTTGACCAACTTTGGGCACATATCAGTTCCATTTTGACCAACTTTGACCAACGTTTAAATTATTAGCGATGTCCCTGTTCACACTGCTAAAAGGTGATATTTTGGTTAGACATTTTTCATTTCTCTCCAAGTGATTCCATGATGCAGGAAATTGGACCCCCTTGGACCCCCTAGAATTGTGACTCACAAATTATTAATAAGTTGACATAACCATCCTGCTCTATGTCGCAAGGTTATTCCACTTTGTCCTATTAATGAATCCATATAACTAATTTGAACTACAACACAGATACCGCAAGAGAATTGGAGACTGATGAAGAAAAAATGAAATCAAATTGTTTTGCTGTTGGTCCATTGTTCAATGATCCCTCCATCAGAACTTATTACATTAGCTGTGGTAAGAAAAACGTCGTAATTTATTGTATCCTTTAGATAAGAATGCCCCCCCCCCCCCTTAGGCATTAATGCTTGAGCTTGAGATACTTGGGGGTTGAGATTTTCAGAAAAGATGTCCACGAGTGTGAAACTAAGAAGTATTAATGACATTTTTGTGCATGGCAGATCCCAACATATCAGACGTCCATTATTCATTGCCATTTATAGATGCTACTGGTTGCCTACTGTAGCTGTAACTGCATGTAGTTCTTAACACATTGAACTGAGAAAACCTACTTTTGTATGTATATTTATTTTAGAAAGCGAGGAAGAGAAGTTGGATTGGATGAGTTCCATTAATGCCAGTATTGAAGGCTCTCCAGCACAAGTTCAAAAACATGCGAAAAGTTTTAGGAAAAGATACAACCGCATTGTATGTAGATTTCGTATAAAGATATCAGTAAATGGTTTTTTTTTTGTCAAGAACATACTGTTCATACAGTACATTATATGCATACCTAAGCTCCTGGTTCTGGTTTGGAGCTAGGCTCAGATATATAGCGTGCTATTCTATAAGACATATATAACTCTTATTAAAGTTTGTATGTAAAGATTAATAAAGCCTTTCTGATCATTGCATGGTCGAGATCGGTAGTATGACAGTTTGTCAACATTTATATGAACGTTAATAGAAACACCATGCATTGGATAAGTTGATTTTCTATAAATTGTGTCAATGATTTTGTTTTAGTCCAGTCGGAAAGTCCGGCCCTTGTCGTCATCGGAGTCATGTAACTTTGCAGATCCTGGTTGGAGAATTCAGGTAAATATAGACAGTGTACATGAATTTAGAGTAGAGATGGTTACCAGATAATCGAAATTGGTCTACGTTTGTCTAGGTTTGTCGTCATGTCTGTGTTTTATTTTCGGCAAACCAACCAATGTTCATGATATGTATTGCTACACACATGGTTCCCAATAGACCTTTCCGGTAATTACGTCACAACTACACTGTTTTCAACTTGGAATAGATTTCAAGTTTGTTTCTCACAGGCTATGGTCAGAGAAGCAGAACATCCTTCTTCAACACATGCATAAAAAATAATTTTTGATTTTGACCAATAAATGTGGAAATAAGCTTAAACACTAAAACGAGGCATGGCCCCTCTTGGCCTCCCAGTCTCGTTTTCGTGTTTAAATTTATTTCCACATTTATTGGTCAAAATCTAAAATTCTTTTTTATGCATGTGTTTGAAGAAGGTTGTTTTGCTTCTCTGACCATACTGTCGGTGAGAAACAAACTTAAAATTGAAACCGGTACCCATGAGCGATTTTCGCCGTTTATAGCGTAGACAATCACCGATTATTTCTTGGAATTGCAAATCAAAATATTTCCTCATTGCTGCAGAAATGTCAACGGAAAGGTTTTCTGCTTTTCTAACATAAATATTACAGAATAGTCTTTTTTTGCATATCTTCTCTCTCGCAGCAATGGCGAAATCTCTGCGAAAGAGCAACAGAAAGCTCCTGGAAGAAGAGTGATACCAAAAATGGAATTACTGTTGCAAGACAAACATTCAAAGACAATTCATTCGCAATAATAAAGGTGCGCAATATACTGTAATTTCTACACAGAATGAAACAAATTTCGAAGGAATTACTTATAAATATTACAAGAAGATAGGGATGCAACTACCTGAAAAATACAAAGACCCTTCTTCCGGACGTTTGTAGCCAAAGTTATCCTTGTATTTTTCGTATTATCTTATTATCTCGAAACTTTCTAATTACATGGAGCGTTAGAAACATTACAGTACAGTACTTTTATTCTTTTCAGACTGAAGGAGTTGTGCCTGTTTCACCAGAGGTCACTTTAGAGTATTTGCAAAAAGCTATTGAACTTGGTGGAAAGGTACATATATAAATTTTAAATGATGATGATGATAACAATCTTTATATTCAGGAGGCATTCTCACGGAAGTGATTTTCAGAATGGTCCTGTCGGCTTTCTCATCACTGACCTGAAATATTAGTGCATGGTTCTTATGTATTCCGTTGTGTATTTCTTGATATATACTACTAAGGGGGTTTTGGTGGCGCAGTCGTTAGTGCAAGTGCCTTTCACCTGTGAGTTCGATTTTCGCTACGGACTCGTGTGAAAAGAGTCCGCTCTGCCGAAAGTAGTGGGTTTTCTCCGGATAAGTTGACAGGGTGGGTTAGGATAAACACAGTTAAGATAAAATACACGGCAAAAAACGCCGAGCGCGCTGCTCAACAGGACTGAACAATGTTTTGCTGCCCACGTTGTTCACACTTGTCAACAATATTGAACAATACTGTTGAGCCTGAATCGGGTGTAACAATATTGTTCAATATTGTTGACAGCTATGAACAATGTGGGCAGCAAAACATTGTTCGATCCTGTTTTCATCAGTATTGCATCAACCTGAGCGTTTTTACGCGTGTAGTCCAGGCTGAGTAAGTAACTAGGTAAGCGTATAATACTTATAAGTAATAGCATAAAAAGAAGCGAATTAGCTATTAAAACGTCCCGCCCGATGAGGGTCGTTTAGTATAATTCCCTTGGCGCCGCTCGATGAAGGTCATAATGGTATAAATTAAATGGTATAATTGTTTTCCATGTCTTTGTTTAGTTTTGGCGATTTCAGATATCTTCATTTATATTCATTTTTTCTAATCGTACCCGCTTTGACGTCGTTTCGGGTAGGATTAGAACTAATTCTACCTGACATGACGTAAAAGCGGGTAGGATTAGAAAAAATGAATATAATGAGGTGTATTAGTTATTAATTGCCCTGCGAGAACAAAGGGAATACCTGCAATCATGATATTATATACTGTATACACTAGATAGTGCATCTAATTATTTTGCAATTCAAAAATTGAAGCCGTGATTGCAGACTCAGGATATTCCCATGAAATGAGAAGATCCGTATATTTTCTATTTCTTAAACAGGGAACTTAAACATTAAGTTAAACCTATTCCAAATACATTTAAACTATTCAAATGATGAAAGTTATTGTTGTTTTTTAAGCGTTTAATAGCGAGTGGGAACTATCAACATGGCCGCCATCTATTCACATGGGGGTAACCCACAAGTAGTTTCGTGTAATTCTACCACCACTAAATGTCACTCTTCTTAACATTTCATTGATACAACAAAATCACAATGCGTAGTATATATATATATATATATATATATATATATATATATATATATATATATATATATATATATATATATATATATATATATATATATATATATATACTGTATATATATATATATATATATATATATATATATATATATATATATATATATGTACTGTATATATATGTACTGTATATATATGTACTGTATATATATGTACTGTATATATCGAATATAGAATTACAGAAATAATAGTTCGTTGACATCTAATGATTACGGGATTAGAAATTATATTCCGTGTTGCAATTCCACACTTAGAGGAAATTCTATTCCTTGGATTTCCCCTGATATCAAAAATCTGAGTAAGAGTTAGATACCGAAAACGGAGGCTCTTAGTCAGATACAAACCCGAGGGGCCGTAGGCCCCGAGGGATTTATCTGACTAAGAGCCGACGTTTGAGGTATCTAACTAACTTAAGTTCATATTTGTAAGGATTGACCCACAATGAAATTTACTTTATGATATGTATTGTTCTTTAAATGAGTTTGAATTACCATGGTTGTAATAAAAACAAACAGGGCTATTTTGATATGCATCAATTCTCGTGTCGCACTACTGTATACTATCAATGAGAAGTGATTAAATATTCGTTCACCAACCACAATTACGATGAAATATGTTTAAAATAGCTCATACAACCGAGAAGAGCTAACGAAGATTTGTACGGGTTTGTCGAAGCAGAGATTCTCAAGTTGTTCTCAACAGGGTTTTATTTGCAGGATAAAAACCAAATGGGAGGTCTTTCATTGAAATTCAAGACCGAGGCGTGCAGCACCGAGGCTTGAATATCAATGAAAGACCGACCATTTTCTATTGTCCTTGGGAGGTTGTGGGACGAAATAAGGTTGAACATGCGCATTAAACACGCTTTAATGTGGTTGAGCATGCGTAGTATATCACTTCGCGTCCCACAAGCGAAAGAGCAGATATTACTGTATAAATTCCTTGCACAAGCAAGTTTGATGGTCGGTTCAGCTAGTCCTCGTGCACCGAATGATAAATATTCTACCCAAAGGTAGAGTTTGACGGGCTTTGAGGTACACGGCTGTTGTCTCTTTCTCGACTCAGAGACGTGCAGCGTTTTCTAGTCGAAAAGGAGATGTGGGGTTTGAGTCTGGTTAAAAATTCAAAGTATCTAACTCCATAGTGACCTCCAAAAGGGGTCACTATGGAGTTAGATACCTTGCATTTTTAATTAGGCATTCAATTCTATTCATCAACCCCGCTTTTCCCTGTGGAGATATCAAATCCCTCCCCTTGCTTTTAAGATTCTTACCCAAATAAAACCCTATTGAGAACAATAGATATCCGAACAAATATGAACTAATTCTAGTTAAACGCTTTTAGGCTTTCTTCAAAGCCTGTTCTTTTCTCTTTCAAACAAACTATTATCCTTGTCTCCAATGCTAGTAATAATTGCACAGGAAAAGATTTAGTAAAACCTATCATTTTTAGTTGCTGTTTAATTATGCAAGTTTACTATGTTATTGTTTAGTCGATTTAAATGTTAGAATTTTCTTCTTTAAACTTTAATGTTGTCGTCACTACATCTGGAAAACCACGTAAGAACAAATTAAAAGTATTTTAAAAGAGACCAGGTTGTTTGAAAATCCTAAACGAATGCTAAAATCGTCAAAACATTCTGGTGTCTGAGCCAGAGTGTCATCGAATTGCGATGTAATGTAAACAGAAATTATAGCAAGTTGATGTCAGTCAGCTTAGATGATCCAAGCCAAAATTATATCGCATTTGAAGTTAATTTCAAACTGAGTTAAAAATAGTGGAAGAAAAGCCGTAATTATACTTATTGTTACAATCCATTTAATAAAATACACCATTTTTTGTTTTAATGAAAAAATCAGTTATTTTCATGAGAACGATTTGTTATTCCATCTCAATTTTTTTAATCTCCAATCTCAATAACGTAAAGTATTATTACCCGCGAACCAATGAGTCAAATTTAAGAAACAACCCACTGTTAGAAAGCTGAATGGCTACGCTTTAATTAAAATGAATGTAAACTTTAACGTTTTCGTCTATTATTTGTTTAGCAATTTACATTTCAGTCGAGGACTGCGCTTTTTTTTATACACCCTGTATATACATATATATATATATATATATATATATATATATATATATATATATATATATATATATATATATATATATATATATATATATATATATATTAATAAAATATCTTATTTAAGACGCGACTTAAATAAGAACAGCTAAAAGTCCTGTTCTTATGTAAGACGCGTCTTATCCAAGACGCGTCTTACATAAGAATTCCGTGCCTTTTATACGACAAACTCGCGTCTTATTTAAGTCGCGTCTTATGTAAGTCTC